TGAACAAAGAATTTTTGTTTGTCACATTGATAAGTTCATCATCACATTGTCCTCGCCTGTAGGCTACAACTGCCAAGGTGGGATCACATTTCTCACAATATTTGCCCACAACTCGCGAATCATAGTATGGGTTGGTGGTGAGAAAATGTTCTGGGTTGTTGTTGCTATCAATGATGATTTTACCCAATGCATTATGAACATGTACATCCTGGCTTCCCTGCTTACGAGATGTTCCAAAAACTGTGAGCAAACGAAGCCGATTCCTGCATGGCAAAAAAAGCACCATAGAAAAAAATCAGAAACATGGATGAAAAACAGCAATAACTAGAACTAGAGAAAAAATACCACCTCTTCTCACATTCCGCAACAAGGGGTTAACTAAAGGAGCATTCCCTGGGTTCACCTATAAAGTGAGGCAAAAACTTATGACTGGGACAGAGAGAGAGTAGATAGCGCTCAAGAAATAAGCAAGGCAACTACAATAGAAATGAAAACAAAAATAAAATACCTTCTCAACATAACCTTCAATGTAGCGAAGCATGTTGTTTGTGTATAGATAGTGTGTTAGATCTGGAACAAATCCAAATCGGTCACAAACATTTATCAGAGGTCGTGCATCAGGAAGCTTAGCTTCCATTAGAAAGTTTTTCGTTTTCTCAGGATCATAGAAAATTGATTCTCTAGTCACACGCTCGACCTCTTTGATTTGTCCAGTCTTTGCTGCTGCCTCAATGTACTTAAAGTGAATGTCAGGATCCTCACTGTCCCATATTCAGATAAACATATATTAGCACATATACATTGGATATTATCTCCTGTACGAGTGGAATCATTTGTCCACAAGCCAAAACAGATTTTTCAAAATGAAAGAATTACCTGGAGCTCAAATATGATCCAAGGAAAAAATACAGTCCTTCATACGACCTGAACTGCTCAAAAATCTTTATGCAAGCATCAATGCCCAATTGTTCACAATATTCTTTAGCAACCTGAACAAATATAAGTAAGCTTCAGTTATCAATTAATTATTAATAATTCCAAGTTATAGAAGACAACAGTACTTCTGTACCTGCACAATTATCTGCAGGTTGCCTCTAAGATTGACCAGCAATAGGTCTTTCATGCACTCTAATGCCCATTCTCGCGACAGAGTACCAAAAAAGTCAACAAGTGACTGCAACAACCAAATAATGAGTGAGTGTTTTGAAATTACCATGATGTTAAACTATATAAATTATAAAAACAATAGGGAACATAAACCTGTGGCTCAATTGCATGTGTATTTACAATCACACGTTTTATATCTGGCAACTCTGTGTAATGCTGCAAAAAAATAATGCAATCAGCAAGAGGGTGATTATCAGCTTAAACTGGAAAAAGGGTAAGAGAAAAACACATTTGGAGAGTCATTACTTGCAAAGCTCGCACATAAAGACCAGCTTTTTCACAAAGTTGGGCAATACGAGGACGGTCGTAATGGCTGAACATGCCATTAACCAAAATTGCATCAGCAACATTAGGGAAAGTTACCAGATTTATCTCCAACACCTGAACAATAATTCACAAGATGGAATCATTGCAAAGAAAGAACAATAGGAGTAAATGCCTACAACAAATGATAAATGAAGACCGAAACCTTTGTTTGAAGGAACCCATATTCTGGTAGATTTGGCTTCAAAACATCTAGGAGAAAGGCAGTTGCCTCACGGATCAGGTTTCTCTGAGCAGGACAAAAAAGTAACCAGAAGCTAATAAATAGACTGTCCAGTAATGCATATTGCTAAAATAAGGAGGGGAAATGACATGGCAGTCCATGTGCTTTCGAGTCTAATAAAGATAATGCCACTTAAAGAAACATTTTGTACTACAAAAAAGATCACGAAGCAGGAATATTATATAACTAGTCACTGTAATGGATTAATTACAGTATATAATTAACCTGAAGAAACAGATCGGTTATGGTATTGTAATCAACTGGGCAACCGCCCTCCATTTGCGACATCATTAATGCAAAATTAACAGCACCCTGCAAATCAAAATGAAATAGTAGTTGAATTAATTTGTAAAACTAAAATTTTCTGCAAATTAAAATGAAAAAAGTAAACTTGTTGAAATAGTTCAAAATTACAAAGGTTTCTCACATACCTGAGGATCTGTCCGGAGAATCGTTTGCAAAAGGAAGAGATAGTCAGGTGTATACCCAACCTATCGCAACAAAGTAATGAAAATGTTCAGGACAAATTTGTTCCAGTAAAATGAAAAGGGCAGGATATGCAATGTTCATAATATAGGCTGAGTAAAATATTCTACCGACCATAATAACAACATTAAATAATTTAACAAGAGAAGAACAAAAGAATCTTATGAATCAAACTTCAATATTATTTCATAAAACATGCCCTCTACCTACTTCGAGTATATCAGAATCTTGTCAAACTCCCTTTTCGCAGCAAAAGCAGCAACAACTTTTGGAGTAGCTCTGGCTTTGATATATATTTTTATAGCAAGATCATTATCCACAGTCGACAATGGAGCACACTTATAAAACTTAACACAAATACACCATTAGACAATAAGCAAATTCAGCAAGGAGTATACCATTAGGCAAACAATCAGAAAGAAAGAAAAGCAAAATGAATAAATAAACAGATCAATTTAAAGTTTTTCAAAATTTCAAATGCAACCCAACCTTTACAAGATCTCCTAGCTCCTCACTGCATTCAAGCTTGTCCTCTGCCAACCAATTCTCCAAAAGATTTTTCTTGTTCTGGTTCACAACCAGCCGTGACAGTTCTAATGACTCAAAGGCATTCAGCTTTCCTCTCGTTAAGAGTGTTCCAAAATATTGCAATAGAGGAGGAGTTTGCCCAGCTTGCACAGGAACACTCTGCCACATAGAACAGAATGTGACACTTTAACCATTACAGTCTAATTGACCCAAAAAATAGGACAGACCTAAAAACAGTTCAATTTCCTTTAACCCTAAAAAAAATGACTGTAGGTAAATTCTGTTGCAGAAAGAGAATGAACAAAATCATTGATAGCTACATCCTACAAGAAACCTGAAATTTGGCAACTGTATCAGGTGTCCGAAGGATTCCTTGTGGAGATTCAGCAGCAAGCTCAGCTGCTTCTTTATACTTTGTTTGGGCAAATAATTCATGGAAACGTTCCACAACCTGTAATGTCAACAAGTATACATGTTAATGTCTAAATAAAAAGGAAATGTAATTACAAAAAGAAACCATTTTAAAGGAGTCCAATACACAATCCAATCAAACAACCAATTCCAAAAATCTTGTAAAATGCCAAATAACAAATAACATCTAGACTTCATTAAAAGAAAAGAAAAAGAAAATGGCACAGATTTTATTGCAACACAGCATTCGGGTCACTCACATACACCCTCTCAATGACTTAAGAAGAAATAGATTAATGGCAATACTGTAACATCCCCGTCTCGAGCCGGTTCAATTAACATACATATGATAAAACAGAAAACAGCGGAAGACTTAACTTACGAAAATATGAGCTAACTTTTTCTTTTTCTAACTTAATTCTTTCTTGGCGTAAACGAAAATCGGGCAGAGTTTCCTCTATAAATCGGACAAATGGGGATTTTCCAATCCCACTCAAAAGCATTTCCTGATAAACAGTTTATACAACATATCAATTCAGAAATACCAGATATCCAAATATAATCGAATACCCATACATGGGCGCATGCATAACATGGCTCCGTGCCACTAAATCTAACAGCATGCCATCAAAACATAAACCTATCTGAATACTACATCATCATATAACGTTCCTGAATACTCAAATGTACATGCATCAAACTGACAGACATGTACAAAACATATACAGGCCATATACAAAATAAAGGATCAATATCATGATCCATCAAATGCGAAAATACTGAAATACATCAAACACTCCAAAAAGGTAGCAGCCTACAGCCACTCAAAATCCGGTCTGTCAACTGCCTCAGCCACGTGTCGTGTCCCTGCCTAGTGAGGACTCACCGGAAATCTGGGCACCTGAAAATGTGTCCCCAAAGAGGGGTGAGATTACAAATCTCAATAAGCTCCAGGTTTATAGAGAATTCTCCATACCCCTGGCTCACTCCTGCATGAAAGTCAGATACAGAGTATACAAATACAACATATAACAGATATCATAACAGAACAGAGCATATATCCATATCATATCAGAGATGTGCGCCGTCATTCCCAAGGGAGGACCCCAAGCGGAAATCAACGCACATGTTCCCGAGGGAGGACCCCAAAGCGGAACCAGACATATCAGAGGAGTACACCATCAGTCCCGAGGGAGGACCCCAAAGCGGACGTCCGGGTACTATACAATCAATGGCCAGAGATTGTTACAGAAATCAAATTACAGAAGTCATATCAGAGCAAAACATATCATGTTATCAAATAACTCTATATGAATGCATCTATACAAAGCATCTAAATCACAGTCATACAGTCCAACCATAGTTCACTAACCATGGTGGAGCACTCAAGCAGGAAAAGACTCCTTAAACATAGAGCTTACCTCTTGAAGCTTTACCAATACGCTTACTTGTGGAACAAGTTACTTTTATCGCTTCAAGAGATTTCCGATCCTTCTCAATCCCTAGGCACACCTAGAGAATAATTTACAATGCATCAATAAAATGATGCAATACCATAATTATTTCATAAGCATACATTTTATCGCTTATTTTCCTTTCTTTGCATTTTTGCCAATCCTATGCCAATACACAAGTCTAGACCTCTTTATAACCGTTGGTGTTCTTTAATTTAATCAACCATTCCCTTAGGAATTTTCAACATAAATCATGCTATTTTTCTTCAAAACTCATCACCTTTATACAATTTATTACAACACATTTTATTTAAAATAAAATGTACAAAATATATCCCTAAATACCCTATAGGTCGAATCCTACAAGGGGAATTTCCAAAGATCCTTCTCTTTTACAATGCATTTTCGTTACTTCATTACAACTTGCAAACACCTAGGAATGCTTCCACTAAATTCCTATTTTGAGTTTAGACACCAAGTCCTTTTTACTTAGGCATTCTTACTAACTCATCCATTTTCACTCATTTCCAACACACTATACCTTCACAATACATAATATAATTTTTTCCACAATAACTCCTACTCACTCCATGATGGCCGAAACCTAGGAGGAATATGCAATAGGACTTTTAAATTTTTATATCACATGTGGATGCTTACTCAACACTATAACTTCCTAAACAACAATAATCCATCATAAATTTCACATTCTAACATCAATTATTTCCCAACAAAATATGCTCATCAATTTCATAACTTAAATCATCAAAATAATATCATGGAAATAGAGGTTTCTTACCTCTAAACACTTGTACAAAGCCTAAATAGCAATCTCCAAGCCAAGCTCCATCCAAAAACTCACTTTTTCTCCTCCAATGAATAGTAACTCGAAAATGAGAGGAGGAATAACTCTTCACACACTCAACTATAGCTCAAATGGATAGGTGGAATGGATTCATTGAGTGGTTTCCAATCAATTTCATGTGGTGGGTCATTGGATTTGGTGGATGGATGATGAAGAAATCAAAGAAGGAAAATTTGAAACCCTAGCCCCTTCCCCTCCATGTGCAGCTCGGCCATGCAAGAGAGAGAAGAAGAAAATCTGAAATGAATAGTGTTTCATTTAAGTGACAAGGCTATATAGGCACATGTGGCCATTTTCATCGGATGTTTTTTTATCGCGTATTTTAACTTAAATTGACCCGGAACTAACTCAAAGCTACAAACATATTTTTATTTCCTAAAATCATTTACATTAATTTTTATTTCCTAAGGAACAATATTCATAATTCACAGTATGGTTTTTGCACCGTTTTTGACGAAATGCACTGTGCATCACTAATTGTACTTCCTTTACTTACGAAACTTAAAACTTATAAACTTATCATTTTCTTGGGCCTATATTGACTTGCTTGGCATATATTGGACTTTCTTATTCTTATTTCATCAATTATTTATTTCTGGACTCTACCGGTTGCTTAAACAGCAGTACAAAATACCCGGTAGAAACACTATTCACGAGATTTTCACGGAAAGTGCCAGACTATACAATTTTTCGTTCTGAACTCATATTTGTCATCAGAATTTTCAAATTATGTTCCTAAAATTATTTTGCTCATTTTAAGCTCTACCGGTTAATTCACAAAACTGTAAATTCTCCGGCAGAACGCACTGTTCATAACATAGTCATGATTACAGTCAAAATACTCGAAATCGCTCACTGAATCTAATTATGGCATTTAAATCCTTAAATTAAATCTCTAACTAAGATTTACCAGTTAGGGTCATTATAAATACAACATTCAAGTCATCTCACATAACCTCCTGTGGCCCAAGCATCTACATTTTGTGGGAATGGATCCTCTCATATCCCATATAACATGACCACATCATGAGAGACAATCTCATTGGTCCCTAGACAAATCAACATTGATGAGAGTAAAGAGAGAGAGCATGTTAGGATAGAGTAAGAAAATGATAATTGTTGATTTGTTTACAGACAATTGAGATTGTCTCACGCGACTTGGTATGTGAATGAGACATGAGAATATCCATTACCATCTTTTACAAGAATGAAAATATATTCATAATAAAAGGTTGATGGTTCAAAACAGATAAATAAATATCAGTAATAAAGGATATTTATGTTTAACGGCTATGTTATTACCGAAACTAGTGAATACTAAAAAGAAATATTAGCAAGTATTTATTAAAACATTGCACTTTCTATAGCCACCATGCAACCAAACTTTCAAACAAGTTAGCATTTAGCAATTATATGATACCCCACCAAATTGATCACATATAACGTTCAATTTCCTGGGACCTTCCTGACAACACCCTAATGAAGAAATATTTAAGTTCTAAATAAATATTGACATACCAGCTTCTCAGCGCCAGAAAGATTTCCTCTCTTGGCGAGATTAACTGCTAGCTCCGAGTTGTTTAACTGTGATAATAACCAAATGAAATTTGTCAAAATGCCAATTTGTTTCCCACTTTACATAATAAAAGTGATAACAAGATTAGGAACATACTTGACCACTGACGAAATTTACAATTGTTTGCTCATTAACAGTAGCCAATAACACCTGGCCTCTCCTGTTAACGGCATAAAAGCCTCCCACTGATGTAGCTTCTGATGTCAAAAATATAGGGTCTGGACTAATTCTGTTCCTATATACAGCGGTAGCTGTCTCCAAATCATAGACAAATAGGAGACCAAGTTTGGTAATCACATAAATCAAGCTGTAATTGTGGGATATCTGCCAAAAATAAAACTGAATCAATATTTGCACAGTTAATAAAATGAACAAGTACCAGCAACTTCGGTACCTGAATGGAAACTGGAAAGTCATCAGCAAAATCTGGGGGAAAGAAAAGATCTGCTTGTTTCTTTGTAAATGATGGCTTCCCTGCCAACAAATTTGGAAAGTTAAAAACCAGAAGAATGATCAACTGAATCACAGATGATAAAATTATAGACATGATTTAGTTATAATACAATACCCATGTCCACATGCAAACGCCATCACTAATTTCAATATACTGCTTCCTGGATTTCTTCACAGGTTTATCATTAAATTGAAAACCCAACAGTTATGATCATATTATTCAAAATTTCCTATAATTCAAACATAAAGTAACCCCTGGAGCATAGCCTAACAACAAAAAGTAACATATTTCATTAACTGAAACTATTAATAATGATGAGTAACCTCCTCCATACCACTAGTCTGCTACATGATCACTTTAATTCATCCATCCACAATTTGAAGTTTATGAAATAGATATTCTGAGTTGAGAAATTTTAAATTGCACAACCAAGGTGCCATTCTTGATATATCTTTAAGAAAGGTCATTCTTTTCAGTTATCTAATATTGAGAAAAAACTTAAAGCTCCCATACCACTAGTCTGCTACATGATCACTTTAATTCATCCATCCACAATTTGAAGTTTATGAAATAGATATTCTGAGTTGAGAAATTTTAAATTGCACAACCAAGGTGCCATTCTAGATATATCTTTAAGAAAGATCATTCTTTTCAGTTATCTAATATTGAGAAAAAACTTAAAGAGCCCCCTCCCCCCAAACACACCTCTATTTGATACAAGTTATGACCAATGTAAATCTAAAGTTCTGGTTTAACAGGAAAAAAACAAGCTTGGAAACTCAACATGGGACAACAAAATTGGCATTACAATACAGATTTATCTAACAGCCATATTGCCCATAGATTAATACAGAAGAGGTAATGCAGACCTGGCTGTGCACCCAGCTCACTAACATGCAACTTGGATATAATTTGCCCAGCATTAAGCGTCTTTGTGGCAAAAGAAATCAAAGCAGAAGGATTTTCATTGCCTGGAACCTGTCCAAAATAACAATTCAATTTTGACAGCAAACAGTAACATGGTATAGTAGTATGAAATTATTCGTGTAAATATTAAATAAAGAAATAAAGGAAAATAAACACAGAATCATAAAGAGACACACTTTAAATTGAGCAAATGCTGCAGCATGTGCTTCAAGGGCCTGGCTGCGTTGTTGATCCACTGAGAAGAGTTGCATGTTTCCTTTAACCAATTGTGGCCTCTATAATGCAAAACAATATATAAAATGAACCAAAGTAGATCAGGCTCAAGACATTATAGTAAAATAAATCATGATTGTTTTCAAGGACCAACTACCCCAATGGCTTAAGCTATTAGTTGAAAGATAAATAGTTTTATATCTAACATGCCTCCTTATGCAAAAACCCTTTGAGCTTGGAGCTTGGCAATGCATAGGCTCATTATTACCTTGTGCTAAAATTCAACTTTTATTAGAAGAATGGGGTCCGGCAAGGATCAAACTCCTGACCAGGCTTTAATACCATTCCAAGGACTCACTATCCAATAGCTTAAGCTGTTCATTTTATATCTAATGTTTGTCATAAGAGTGCATACATGTAAATCCAATGGAAATAGATAAAAAGACCAAGGAACATGAGCTAATTGGAAAACCTAAGTATTTCTGAAACGTTATCACCATGATAACCTACTTACTATAGCAAGCACCAGAGATATACCTCAGGGGAACCAGGAGCAATACCAATCAAGACCAACCATTTTTCTGTAGGGTCGCACCGGTAATTAATTATTTGATTGTTTGCCAAATTCGCTGTTCTCTCAAACATCTTAACAGGTTCAGAGTCACCTACAATTTACGTATATCATGGACAAATATACCAGTAAACAATTTGCAGACAAGCTATAAGCACACTGAACAACAATGCATAAACTGGAAAACAGCACAAGACCAGAGTTACACAGAATTACAGTCTATCCTTATCTTACCTTCAATTGACCAATGGTATACAGAGGTCTGTGTAACAAGACCCAACAATTTGGGGCTAATCCACTTCCAAAAGACTACCTGCACATGAAATAAGGGCATTCCACAAGGATTAATAAATCTGTCTTTATCATCAATTATTTTACAGTTCATGTATATATGTACATAATAGTTACCTGCTCAGGCATCTGATAAGATTTCATGTTTTCTTTCATTTCAATATTAAATATTTGTAGGTGATCTTGAGTTGTTCCTTGCAGTTGGGCTTCAAGAGAAGGAATTAGCTTATCAGTGAATATAATCCAAATCAAATATTAACTGAGGTGCAGCACAAACAGAAGCACATGACATAAGCAAAAAAAAAATCTTGAGTTTTCTCCCAACAGCTGGAAGCATTATGCACATCAGACCATATTAACATTGACTGTTTTCATTTTGTTAGGAACATTTTTTTCTACAAAATAAAACCACTGCCAAACTTGTCAAATGATGGTATATATCTATGTTTGTTTGTAATTTTTTTAAGTAAAAGTTATTTTTAATTAACATATATGTTTAAATTTTTTTAATAATTATTTCGTTTTTTGAAAAGAAAAAGGCAAAAACCTCAAGAAAAAGCTATTTTAGTGCTTTACTCAAGCTAAAAATAGTAGCTTCTGAAAAAGCATTTTTTTTAAGACTTAAACAAATGGTTCCGTAATTGGCCTCGTGAATTGTGAAATTGGGAATGGTAAATATATTTGGAAAACATGGAAGCACGGAGAAAAATATTTATCAGATTCATAGCATTACGAACAATAAAGTTCATATAACTTCAAGAAACCATACAAGAATAAAGGCATAGGTTAACCCACAAAGCAAGACTTCTCCCTTCCTAGCAGCAATCCGATCTAATAGTCCTTTTACCCTAGTATGGAAGAGAGAAAGCAAAAGTACCACAGTTTTCTTCAATCAATATAATTATATTTATTGACTTGATATTTTGAACCCAATTTTTTCGATTTGGCAGTTTGATTTCATATATAGAATTGAAAAATAAGAATGCCAAGTGATTCCGTATTCTCAAATCAAATCAAAGATCCGACCTTCACAATTATGCAAGTGATCAGCATGCATGAATATATACGTAAAGATGCTTGAGCGCGTGAACACACATACTTGACTATGCTATAGACAATCTAGTAAAAGAACTAATGTATCAGAAACAACCAAGGACCAGAAAACCAAAATTAGCTCAGATCGTAGACTTGCTCGACTAAGTCCTAATACCATGTTGCAGCGGATATGTACATACACGTTATTCTGCTGATAGTTAAACTAGTTGAAACTATGCGATTTGTTTCGTACAATAGTTGCATCCTATGTTGCACTGACACTGACACAGGACACGGAATACGAGACGACACTCTGATACGTTAATTATAAAAAATGTTAAATTTCGACACATTTTGATATTAAATAATATTTTTAATTTATGTAGCATATATTATATTTAATATTCAATAATTTAATAAAAAATAAAACTAAACTTATAATACCCATCAATTTTGCAAAGAAACATAAAATATCCCAAATATTTATATTGAACTCAATAAAATGATAATCGTAATCCAACGAATCTAATAGTTGGAACTCAAAATATAACGCAACGCAACCTTTGAACCATTTTTTGAGTCTTTGTAACAAGTATTGGAGTGTCGGAGTGTCGGGAAGTGTCGGACAGGACGATCAGGATTTTTAAAGTGTCAGTACTTCATATGTTGCATCAATGGCAAAATCATAAGGAAATTAAGCTTTCTATCTCCAAAAAAGTAAAAAAACAAAGAATTTAAGCTCCACGTAAATCTTGATATCAACAATAATGAAATTCTAGCAGTGAGATTATCCACAACATTACTAGCTACATTACAAACACAACTGACAAGCTCAAGAGAATGATACAAAGGTATCGTAGCCTAACTTTCAAAGCAAGGATTCTAGAATCCGGATTCATAAGAGTAGAATCTGCAGTAATAGGTCTCCTCAAAGGCTGCATTGGCATGTTCATATCAATGATAACCACACTATTCTGCGGAGCAGTTTCTCGAACGCATATATACTTGTCGGACACCATCGTCACATGCGGGAAAGTGATGAACTGCGGACTTATGCCGATGCTTGGCAACTGCAATCACAAATCAGACCACACAAATCGCATCAAACAATTCACCACACATAGTCAACAACTTCACGATCGAATTTATAACTCAAAACAGTTCAGAAACAAAACAATAAACATTCAGATCTATGCAAACTCAAAAACATTAAAGTAAAGTAGCACAGTAAACTTCGTTAAGCTATCAAGCGAAACCATGGCGGAATACTCAATTTGGAAAATCAGAATCGAGCAAAGCATAACTGTAAATTAATAGTTATTACGAAATCAAGTGTACTTGATGCTGTTGAGTAGGGAAGTAGAGTTGCGAATTGAGCTAAGGAAACAGAAAAAAAAGGAGTGAAGGAGAACACACAGTGAGGGCTTCTCTCATGGCGATCGGAGCGTTGGCCGCCGCCGCCGTGGTGACTTAGATCGAAGAAGAGACGCATCTGCGGTGGCGATTGAATTCGAAGATGAAGAGTCAAAAGAGTGATCCAAATCACTGCGAGATCTGGAAGCAACTTGGACCCTCTGAAGCGAAAAAAAGAAGAAGAGAGAGAGATCTACGAGGTAGAAATAAGAAAGAAGGTTCTGACACAAATAAAGCGGGGGGAGAGGAGAAAGAAAAGGAATTGAATTCTTAAGAAAATAAAACGATAAAGTATCAGGTATATCTTCTTATGGGCTAATAAAGCAAATTTAGGACCATAAATTAATTAACGGGGGAGTATTGGGGTGAATTGGATTATGATTTTGAAAGATTTTTTTTGAATATCACAATATTCTTATTATTTTTTTGTTTGACGGCTCAAAATCGAATTTTGCTATGGGAGCTTCGTCAAAAATAAAAAAAAAAAGTATATTTTTGAGCGATTTTTATCGCAAAACAACCCAGAAACAACAACCCAACGCTATTTTAATATAATCTATCTCAAAAATAACATATTTTGGAGCCATTTTTGAGAAATTTTGAAAGTTTAAAAAGTGATTTTTCAAGCTATGGGTCGCGATTTTTCTTGGCTATGTGTGAGTTTTGAATTAAAAACAACATAAAACAGTAAAAAAATAACAGGGAAACTAAAACCCTCAATGAAACAATATCAATTTAAAAAAAATTGAAACTTTCATAATATGAACCCTATATTTCGTAATAAGACATACAATCATGAACGACGTCTGGAAGCAACTTGGACCCTCTGAAGCGAAAAAAAGAAGAAGAGAGAGAGAGATCTACGAGGTAGAAATAAGAAAGAAGGTTCTGACACTAATAAAGCGGGGAGAGAAGAGAAATAAAAGGAATTGAATTCTTAAGAAAATAAAACGATAAAGTATCAGGTATATCTTCTTACGGGCTAATAAAGCAAATTTAGGACCATAAATTAATTAACGGGGAGTATTGAGGGTGAATTGGATTATGATTTTGAAAGATTTTTTTTGAATATCACAATATTATTATTATTTTTTTGTTTGATTGCTCAAAATCGAGTTTCGCTATGGGAGCTTCGTTAAAATTAAAAAAAAAAATATTTATGAGTGATTTTTATCGCAAAATAACCCAGAAACAACAAACCAACGAGATTTTAATATAATCTATCTCAAAAATAACATATTTTTGAGCCATTTTTGAGAAATTTTGAAAGTTTAAAAAGTGATTTTTCAAGCTATGGGTCGCGGTTTTTCTTGGCGTAAAAAATGTGTGATTTTTGAATTAAAAACAACATAAAACCGTAAAAAATTAACAGGGAAACTAAAACCTTCAATGAAACAATATCAATTTAAAGAAAAATTAAAACTTTCATATGAACTCTATATTTCGCAAGAATACAAACAATCACGAACGACATCTGGAAGCAACTTGGACCCTCTGAAGCGAAAAAAAGAAGAAGAGAGAGAGATCTACGAGATAGAAATAAGAAAGAAGGTTCTGACACTAATAAAGCGGGGGGAGAAGAAAAATAAAAGCAATTGAATTCTTAAGAAAATAAAACGATAAAGTATCAGGTATCTCTTCTTATGGGCTAATAAAGCAAATTTAGGTCCATAAATTAATTAAGGGAGTGTATTGAGGGTGAATTGGATTATCATTTTGAAAGATTTTTTTTGAATATCACAATATTATAATTATTATTTTTTTGATATTTTAATTAAATATTAATGGATTTGGACAGGTTTTAAAATAATCTTTTAAAATCATAAGCGAATATCACGTGATTTTTTTCCAATTTTTTAAGATTCTAATTGAGTAATAATAGATTTTTTTATCCAAAAATAATTTATTAAAATCTTTTAAAATCTCAATCTAATATACCCTTAATAAATATATATATATATATATATATATATATATATATATATATAAAATAGCATCATCACATGTAATAACATAATTAGGAGCGATTATTTCACGGTCCGGGAGCAAGGTGATCTCGGCCAAAAATGGAAAAAAAAAGGATAGAGGAGAAAATATAAGAAAAGAGAAAGATTTAAGAGTATTTTTTTTTACCAAAAAAAGAAATGAAGCATGAAAAATTTGATGAGCCCGCTGTATAATAAAAATTTCCCATAATTAGAAACTAGCATTAACTGCTGAGACGTGTAATTATTAGCCGACAGCGGAACCGGAAAAGATCCAATGGATACTGTTACTGACTCTCTCTTTTTTGGTAAACACTATTACTGACTTTTTTATTTATTTATTTTTTATGTTCATTCTGGTAAATTATATAAATAACGAACCAAGGATAGTTTGCATATAATTTATTGGTTAATTTTTTGTTATTGATTCTTCATTGATGATTGATATTGTTAAAAGATTTAAGGGTTCGCTTTTTCTGCTGTAGGTAAGTAATCTGCTGTAAGTCCAATACAATATTATTTTGGGCTGAAATTATGATATTTTTGTATTTTTAATTTATTTCAAGATTATTATAGTCTTTATAATTATAATTTTTTAGAAATAAAGACAGATAAATTATCTGCAGTCACTGCATAAATATTTTTTTGAAAATTTAATTATCAATAAATTATACCAATATATATATATATATATATATATATATATATATA